ATTTTTTGTGCATTGTACCATCAAATCAGATCTGACTGGTACAGGAGGAGATTGTCCCTCCTTCTCCAGCAGAGCATCTGGTGGATTCGAAGCAGGCACATCTGGGATTGCAGTGCAGCTTCTTGCCACTAGGTCTTCACTTTTTCAATGTCACTTCCTAAGAGCCTAATAAGGTCTCATTTGCTCTATAAAAGACATTCTATAGTTTTGTATTTTGTGCTATTTCATTTAACAAGAGATCCTGGAAATCTTCCCTCAGTGATCTGAGATGTTCCCTTTGTTATGTGCTAAATTTTCATAGTAATTGTGCCCTTTTTCTATGGCCATTATTTTTTTCTGTTTCTTATCTGTTTAATCAGGTGTTACTACTGCACTATTACGTAGTCTCTACTGCTAAAGTAGAGACTGCTTTGGGATAACCAGGATAAAAGTGAAAGTATTAGAAAAGTTCAGAAGTGATTTACATGTAGTGGTAAGAGAAAACATGTCAGAATGGTTCTTTGAGCATAGTCACTGTGCTGTATAGACACAACATACTGTGATTGCTCTTCTCGTGAAATGGAAATTGGAATGAGATAATATTGTAAGTTTATAATTGCATTTCTGGTGATTTGGTATTTCTCATTCAGAATAGAACTAGACACTTTCATGAAGACTATTTTAAAAATTGAAAACATTCTTGTGTACCTTATATTAACTCATATTTGTGGTTTTGCTTTTTTTTTTTTGTTTAGTGGAGATAAGCTGTCATTACTGCTTTGTGGCAGGTGCTCAGGGGCTCTTGGTGGGGCAGCTCCCCTTCCTCTTCACAGTCACAGGCTTCTGGCCGCTCAGGGTGGCGCTGGACCTTTTTTTTTGCAAATCATGTGGGTACTTGTTCTTGCGGATCATGTGCGGGATGCTGCAGAGTGTGGCCCAGACCTTCTTGTGAACGGTGATCTGCGTGTAGAAGGTGGCCACTTCCTCCGGCCTGACCTCAGCTTCATCACCCTCACAACTCCCTTGCCATTGGTGTCCCACACCTGTGGTCTTGAGTGGATCAGCCCATTGTAGCGGAGTTGCAGGTTTTGAGCTTCCTGATTCCATGTGGTAGGTCCATTTTTCTTCTTGATCAGGAAGCTGGAGCAGTTACGTGGGACTATTGCAGATGGGCAGACATGGTGGCAGCCCCATGCTGAGGCGGCTGTGGGTGGAAAGAGACCTGTGTTTATGTTTTAAAAATTTTCTTTTGTAAGCTCTGGTGGTCTAGTGGCAAGAAGCTGCACTGCAGTCACAAAGGCACGTGGTTCAGATCCACCAGATGCTCTGCTGGAGAAGGACGGGCAATCACTACTTAGAAGAATGTTTGAACTGGTAATGGTGTACATGCCTACTTCGTGCAAGTTTTTGAAGTGTCCCTTCCATCTCACTGAACTGAAGAGATCTGGGTTGGCGTCCTTTACTAGCTTGTTAATTGTCTGTAGTAGCATGAATGAATGCCATCATCTTTCTTAAGTTTTCTTAGTGGTTAATTTAGAGGTTGGACTGGATAGAGAGTCTCTTAAGGATAGGACAACATCCTGGTCGTCATGTCAGTTCCTATCAGAGTAACTGACAAGAACCATCTCTTTGTTTCCACAATTAAATCACTTTCATTTCTCCCAACAGAACAGTGGAGTAGTGGAGGAGTGGTGAAAGACAAGTGATCTTAGGGATTTTTTTCCCTGTGCTTTGCCACTATTCACCTGCAGGTCTTCACTTTTTTTTTTTTATAAAATTTATTTTTATTTCATTATTTTTTGTGTGTACCGTCAAATCAGATCTG